GAAGAACTACATAAACTAGGTGACAAAATGGAGTTTATACTATCCAACCAAAGTTGATACAATGAACAAGGCACAAAAAATAAAATTAGCTGCTATCTATGCGAATTATTTGGACTATTTTGGAAAGTAAAAGTTCAATTTTTCACAGAAAGAAGTTGATGTGTATTACACCTTTCATCCATATCTAAATTCGAAAACTAAAAACTTGGGGGAAAAAAAAAAACTAAAACTAAATGTCAAGGGGCTCAAACACCTAAACTTATATGACCTATGCAATACAAGTCTGTCTAAAGCGATTTTGAAACTTACTGTAACTAAATAATATATAATTCATATGTATGTATAATGGAAGCCAGTCACTGAAGCCAGTCGCTAGTGACCCAAGTCAAGTTGTATCACTTTGAGACGCCCTCTATTGCTACAATTAGATGACACCCATCTAGAACCCACACCCAAATGAATTCAAAATAAAGTACCAATATATGTTCTATTTGTGACTCTAAAACTAGAGTTCCAACTCTTGGTAAATAGAATGGAGGAAGTGCAATTGGACTCGTAAACAATTAGCTCATTCCCGCGTTTAAGCATATAATACTGTATCGATTTTGTTCAATTCAAAATTTTCAATAAACTATTCATCAGGCTTCAATTGTAAACAGAAGAGGATCTTACTGTAGTGTGGGGCCGATTCCAGACGGATGCTTGGAAAGATCGACGGGTTGGCTCCCTTCCACGACTTGATCTGCCATCGATTCCTTTTCCCTCACAATTCAGAATCGTTCCTTTCTGTTCAACACAACAACAAATTCAACACACTTTTTATCAATAACAGAGACCCAATTCTTGTTTTGTACCACCATCTAGGGTTTTCTTTAACTCAAAACCAATGATAACATCTAGGGTTTTTTTATAAGTATTCCCTTTCCAGAAAAAAAAATCAAAAGTCACACGAATTTAAACATATTATATATAAAAGAACTTATGATCCAAGATCGAGTGATTTAGAATATATACATACACACAGAGACACATACATATATCAGTGGGTTTGAATAGTTGTAACTAAGAAAGACGATTTTAAGTCAAGAATCTAAGAAAAGTCCAGTTTTAAAACTTCTTTAGTGCAAAGCCAGTTTCAAGTGCAAGAAAATCGAAAACTGTCATGAAATAGAAGATCTTTAACAATCGGCGAGTGAGAAGCAAAGATTTGTCGTTCGATATGAGAATTGAACGAGAAAAATAAAATTCGGAGCGGTAAGTATTTGAAAAGGGTTGTTTTTATATGTGAACGAAGATTTAAAGGGTTGAGAGAGGAAAGATAGATTGATATAGAGAGAGGTGTGCAGGGTTTGTTGTCAGAATGTGTTTGTGAACGACAACTAGTTCTTTGCCATGTGTCAAGACGTTCTTTAAACTATATTTGGATTGGCCCTCCCACACTGACGTCAGTCATGATTCATGAGCTTAATTCAATTTAAGTTGCATTATTCAAATTTAGTCCCTTTCTCTAATTATTGTATCCACTTACTCCTTTTTCACTTTATTTTAATTTCCATTTCTCTAATCCAATCTTGAAATTTTAATTTTAATTTTCTTGAAAAAATGAATATTTGAAGAAAAAATTAATATTTAATTTGAATATTCCTATAAAATGAATATTTTATATATCCACAAAGAACAAGGTAAGGTGTTTTGATTCTTTTCTAATTGCAGTTTTGTCCATTTTAGGCTTTTGCTGTTACTAACATAAACTAAGGTCTACTCTTGATCATGCAAATATTGGACGCAATCAAGTCAACAACAGTAAATTATTAGTTCACGAGAAGAACTGCTTGTGCAAATATGTCTACGAAAAATTCTTCTCGCCGAGTCAGGACTGGTGGGTGGGAGCTTTGTCTAGTCTGTGAGAGGCAGACTCTGCCAGAAACTCTGTTTAATAAGGCTGGCCGGTGATTATCAAAGTCGTCATTGTAATGTTATGTTTAAAATGAGTATCCCAAAACCTTGTAGTTATTTATTTTTCTTTCTATTTCTCCATCAGACACAATTACAGGTCCCATAAGGATATGAAGGAACGCAAAATCATATTTGAAACCATTTATGCTCATTTTTTAAGTCTAAAAGTACATTATAATGTCATTAATATTCCTGACGTTGTTTATATCCTTAATATCTTGTATATACAAACCATCTTCAGGACTACAATATTAGGCATCATCTCTTGCTTCTCAAACCTTTTTGCCATAAATGCTATAAGATTAAGCTTTGCATCTTTTTGAAATCAGTTTCCTCTTGGTACAGGGGTCTCTGTGGTTCGGAGTTCTCTGTCTTCTCAAAGTTTTATGTCTCTGGTGATTCCTGGGTGGTTTTGTGGTCCGTTGTTTCTTAATCTCTTTTCTTTTTCCGTGTTTGTGTTGGTGTATTTGCACCTACGTAGCTGTCATGTCTTTTGTTTGTGGTTATTCTAGATTCCGCTTAGTCTTTGGTAACCTTCTTGTAGTTTAGCGGATCTGGTGGTGCACTATACCATTGATTACTCTCTCTGCTTATGCCCCTTTGTCTCTCTTTGTCTTTGGAAAATCTTGGTTGTCTTGCTATTGTGGGTCTCCTGTTGTTTTTCTAGTTATCCATACACTCTGTCCGCTTCCTATTCATTCTTTGGGCTTCAATCGATTTAGGGTGGTTCATAGATCTGGGTTGCTCCCAGCCCTTCGTGTTTTGCCCTAGTGCCAAATCTTTTTGGTGGGTACTCTTCGGAGCTTGCCACTCAGGGGTTTTCTGAATACGATACACGGGTCTCATGTCTTTCCTTTGGGTTGGCTATGTTGCTGCATTTGGGGGACGATGATGCTTATTTTTTTCCCCATGGATGGATTCCGCCGGGCGCTGTGGGTGTTCTTCCATGGTTTTAGGACGGTCAGTATGTCGGCTCTTGTGGTCGATGTTAGCTTCTTTGGCTGGGGTGGGAATGACGTCATAGCAGACATCTTGGAGGTGTCTTTTGGAAGTCTTACTCTGGCTTTTCGTGGGCAGGGGCACGTGGGTTTTCGAGAGCTGTGTATGGCAGTGACGTTTTGTTTATCCCTTGGTGTGAATATCCAAGTGGTGTTTTTCAATCTCTTTATGGTTGGTGTAGCTAGGGCAACAAAGTGTATCCCATACGCTTCCTACTATGATGTCATTGTCAATTTCTCTTTTTCGGATATGTGGCGCCCCTATTTCCAACCACTTAGGTTGCATCTGGTTGACGTAGTGTCACGTCCCGACAATTCCAATGAAATTCTCGATTTATACAAGTTCAAATATATCAAAATACACCCAGAATCATAAATAAATAAATAAATAAAATACCCTCTTTTATACAAAGTCAGATTTCTCAAAAATACGAAAAAATTCTTCAAATAATAATAACAAAACTCGCAACGCCAACTCTTCATTCTAAGCCCGTATCTACAATTCCCGTCCATCTTCGGTACCTGAAACTGGAGGGTGGTGAAACAGAAAGTCCCAGCAGGAAAAACCATAATAAGAATTTTATAGAGGTTTAACAAAACAGCTTCACAAAATATACATATTCTTGTGAGTACATAAATAAAATAAATATGTATTTAATCAAAACGTTTAATAAAATCATTTAGAGCAATTCCACCCCATGCCATTTAAAATATAGAGAATCCTACACTGAAAAAAAATTATTTTCTCACTGAATCACCAAGACTCCAAGCTCCAAGAGCAGACTTGGCTCCTCACTGTCCTCAAACTCTCTCTGCTCTCTTTCTTATTTTTTTTCTATCTTATTTGCATACATACTCAAGTCACAAAACACCCAATATATAAGCAATCCACCGACCTCACACAAACACCAACCAACAGACCCACGTGCACAATTCAAAGCCAAAAGAAAATTGCCCAAGTCAAAAAGTTGGTCCGCCAAAATATTTCTATCTTCATCATTATCACCTATCATCATCACCAAGTTCAGCCCACGTGGATGAACCAAGTTCAAAGAAATTTTAGCACAAAAGCTCAAGTGGGTCACGCCCACATCACACCAACTTTCCTTTTTACTTTTCTCATCTTCTCATTTTCCACGGCTGACTCTTTTATGCATCAACAGAGATAGATAGATATATATATATATATATATATACACCAACACCAATATCTCTTAATGGGGCCCACACCATCATTTATACAAAACCACTTCAATTTTGCTCTCTTTTCCCATTTCGCGGGTACTTGCTGCCACCTTTTTGTTTCAACAGATACCATAAATAAATAAATATATAAATATAATATATACAACAAACTAATCAGTGCAAATTATATATGCATTAACTTTGTTACAAAATCAACCCACCAACTTCCTTCATCACCAATTTCGTCCAACCCTTCTACTAAATTCGCACCTCCATCAGATTACACACACACACACATACATACATACATATATATATATATATATAAACTATATACAAAACTACAATTACACCTCCACTAAAACCAACTCAAAACTAAAATAATAATAATAATTATTATAATAAAATTATAATTTAAAATCTAAAAAAACTCCGGTTATAACACTTAGGCATCCCAGAGTATCAGACACCATTTAAAGTTTTAGGTTGTTGTCAAGACGATGCCTTTACTTAGCTTGATGAGTTTTAGGTTGTTGTCAAGACGATGCCTTTACTTAGCTTGATGTTGGGCTTGTCTGAGGTTAGCTTTGTTTGTACATGATAATGATTCTTTCTGTTATGGATGCTGTTTATGTGATATTGGTTAAGTGCCGTATGACTGTTCTTATTCCAGGTTAAATATATATATATATCCATTATATATTGTGCAGAACTACCAATGCCAATTCATATTCATGCTTTACCAAAAAGAACTACTAATGCCAATTCATCATATTCATGCTTTACCAAAAAGACCGGTCCAACCTTCTTTTTTTTTTTTGAAACCATTTATGCTCATTTTTTAAGTCTGAAAATCGAGAGTAGACACTCATATCATTAAAATGTCATTAATTCCTAATGTTGTTAATATGCTTTACATAGAACTGTACCGAACTCTAATGCAACTAATGCAGTAAAGTTCAAACAATGCCAATGTTTTTCTTATTCATCTCTGCAACAACAAATATTGTAGTTTTGGTACAAGCAGTAAACTAAGTTACTGGGGATAACATTTCGGGGAAAATTGTTCTAGTCCTTTTAATATATATATCTTCAACAGCCAAGAGCCAGCGAGCACTCTCTCCTTTCAACATATTTACAGTTGGTCAGCAGTTACCGCCCCAAGTGAGCACATCAATCCTGCTGTACCTCCCATAAAAATCTGCCACAAATTTTGAAAACAAATGAGATGAGTTAAATTTTGGGGACGACTCGGGTTTCTGTTTAGCAACATGACTAGATATACATGCAACACAATTTTCGTACCATTGTTGATTTTTCCTGAACTCCGTAAGCACCGGGTATATGTTTTCAAATGCAAGATACGTTTCATCTCGCACCTGACAGTTTAAATTGGGTAAGGAACCATCATAGCAAATAAAATAAGACAATGCAGAACCAAATCCAGTAACTGATTTTTCTCATATACACTGAAATCATGTCATTACCTTAGCTCCAGTCAGAACAATTTTCCCGGAAACAAAGATAAGCAGCACAATTTTTGGTTGCTTCATACGATAAATCAATCCAGGGAACAACTCTGGTTCATACTGTACCGACAAATGTGAATCGTGTGATCAATTCCAGAAAGCACAATTAGAAGTATCGCAACACATTTAACAAAATATTCAAAAGTTGCAAATTTGACATGTTCATTAGCGCACAACTCAAAAACAATATATTTTGATCCAGCAAATTCTCTAATCAGTCAAAAATGTTCAAGAAATTTCAAATTGAATATAAGATATTGTGAATAAACCCCTCATCACTCTCCAGGCTCAGTCTCTCTGTGTTAGGTGGGATTGGTGAATAAGGCCTGATATGAGAATTGGGAGTTCTCAGGCATTACCACAACCAGTATGAACAAACAAAGAGTTACCAAATTTTTGGACCTTGTCATGGGTTGTAAAGAGTTTTTTTGGGTAATGGGTTTATAAAGAGTTGCCAACTCTAACACACACACACTCTCTCTCTCGGATTTTGTATCTCTTTCTCTCCACCATGGAGCCACAACAATCATCAGTCATTTAAATGCATTTCCACCCATCTCCATAGCTAATGAGTTGCCTATCAAGAGTGAGCATAGCAGAATATGTTGATTCTTTAGCACTGGAAATATTTTAGCTACCAAAAAACAGATCATTTTAAACAAAATTAAGGGCCACTTTGCCAATTAAAACTACTGAGACAACACATACACAATAACACACATTTCTCTTCCCACTTAGCCTGGTTTAATTCAACTTCAAGCCCATAAGTAGTACCCAATCCATATACCAACAGTGTCAGCCAGAATTGATTTGGAACTCAGAGAGTCAACTCAACCAATATTAATAACTAATAAAAAAAATGTAGCATATTATAAGAACCAATAGAACAGATTCAACAGAACTGCATAATCCCCACTTATCCAAAAAAAAATTGCATAATACAATTATAATTTTGAGAGCAAAGTTATGTAGTGCATATATTTATATATATGCATACACATAAGAGAGAGAGAGAGAGAGAGAGAGTACGCTAATGTATTCAGCCATCTTGGGGACAGCCTGACTTGATGAGGACTTCAAGGCCGAGACACATGAGTTCTAGAATCAGAACAGCCATGAGACCGGTAACATAGAGAAAGAATGAAATTAAAGAGAGAGAGTTGAGAAAGTGAAGTGTTTGGGCATGTAAAGCGAAGTCGTTTATGAAAATGTCCTTTTTGGACATTTTGCTTCTATTTTTATTTTTTATAATTAGACCTCATGGCATATTCACACAATTTTTATAAGTTTGGGGGGGGGGGGGTGTTCTGGGGGGAGGAATTGCACTTTACACAAGAATAATTCCACTACAAAATTCATGGATCTTAACCACCCATGACACAAACCCCAGATGGTTTCTGTCACACAATGGAACATAAACCCCAAGTCTGTAATTTTACCAAAACCGGCCCCCCTGTTTCCATTCTACGGTCACGAGCCAGACCAACATGTGATGACACCATTATAGACCCTCAGGCTCGGGTTTTATCCATGAGTTAATAATATAGGAAAGAAGTTTCAGTGTTTCTGCTGTTGAGCTACGACTCTCGCTGTGGTCTATTCTAGCAGTTAGCATGGTCCTTTTACTGCTCTTGGCAGTGTTGAATCTTTCTATAATGGTTCCTGTTTTCTGGTGTAGCCTTCTAAGGCTGTCTATATTGCAAGCTATTTTGGATAGCCTTTAGGGCTGGTATATTTTGTAGGTTATTCCATATCTTGTACAGTTTCTCCTTTTTTAAAAAACAAAAAGGCAATCATTACTTTAACGGGAAAAATATAACAAATAAAAATAGAGGAAATAGATTGTCGGAAGCACACTATTCCCTGGAATCACCACATACAGTAGGGTACTAAATTGTGTCCCATGCTTTTTCACATTGCAAAAACTAGTTTATTCCATAAATACACAATAAATGATTGATTTGTAATCTTATTTTGGCTACTAAGAAAACCCTTCACAAATAAAGCATAACATTCTGGGAAATTCAAATAACCATGGATGGCGATTCTACTATTACAAACCCAACACACAATTACCAAAGTAATTCAAAGTAACTCGTGAATGGTTAATCCACTCTTCTTTTCTTTTTTTTTTCAATTTTTCGCAAGTGAATTTTCCTAAATAAACACCTCCATTACCCCTCAAAATCCCTGTCTACTCCGTCCATTGTTTTTTTCTAATATAATTTACCAAACGTTAGTCAAACATTGACATTAAAGCCGGCTTTTAACTTGTAGGAGATAATTTATGGAAAGAATTCTCAATCATGGTGGTGGAATTAAAACAGAAAAAATTCACTCCTCTATTTCAGTGAAGTGCAAAAACATCTATTTGAATAGAACTCCATTCACAGCGATGGTATTAAAACCGAAAAATTAATAAAAGAAAAAAAAAAAAAATACATCACGGCTTACACTAGAAAAAGCGCCATGGGAGTATGCAAGGCCTTCAAGTCTAATAGGAAATTTAACATCACAGGAGCCCACAATGTTCTGGATCTTGAAATCCTAAACCCACCACAAAAAAATAAATAAATAAATAAAATAAAACTTAACACACAATCAGAACAATACAGAACTTTGTAATTCGTGAAAGAAACTAACAGCTTACATGATAGATGATGTCTTTTTTCTTTTGGCAGAGAGAGAGAGAGGAATATATACCTTAAACTTAGCTGGAAAACCAAGCTTTTGAATAATTCGAGCATACTGAAGAAAAAAGGAAAGAAAGACAGTAAGAAAAGGGAATTGGAAAGAAACTGATCAAAAAATTAATACTGCCTCCCATCTCAAAATTCATACATTAGATTCAGTCACAAAAATGAGAATCAGCTGACAAGAGGTTCATTGTGGTATCCCAAATTGGTCTCTAGTAAATTAAAGTTGAGAGCCTGAGATTAACAAGGAGAAAATGCTTTCATAAAGACATTAAATACCTTTCGTGCTGCCAATTTTGATTGGTGCTCGCTTTTCGCACCCGTACAAACCTGAAGCAGCACAGAAAGACAGAAATAAAGAAGTGTCATTGAAAATAACAGACTAAAGAAAGTCAATAAACATGCTTTCAATCAAAATGGGATGAATCTCCAACATCTCATCAGGTCATGTGAGAGTCATTTTTTTTAATAACTCCAACTCTCTAATAGAAATAATAAGAAATGACGTGAAGTAAATGCTGCACAGAGGTTTAAATCAAAAAGGATGTGATGAAGACTTTTGAGTCATACATTCTACTGCCAAAAACAAAAACTCTGAGGCACAGGGATGGAGCCAATTGAAGCTTTTTTTGTTTTCCCACACACTAATTTTTTGCCTATATATTTGTAAAATATTGAGAAATGCCCCCCTGAAATTTCTGTTTTTTGAAAAAATCTTTCTTAATTTTTCCTCTCTTTTTTACTCTTCTTCTAATTCCCTTCAAATTTATATATATATATATTCCTATTCTTCAATCAAATCCTTTTTTTTTTTCTTTTTTTTCTTTTTTCAAAGTTCTCTCATTTTTATTTTTATTCTTTTCTTCTTCTACTATTGTTTTTGTTCTCTCTTTTTGGAACTTTTCTTCTTGCACTCATGCATGATGAATGTGCTTTAACTTTTTTTTCTATCTTATTTAATTTTATTACTGCAATTTTATAATGTCTATTCTATATTTTTTCAATTTTTTCTCATTGTAGTTTTTGGGCGAAAAATGGCATAACAATTTTTCAGTTAGTTGTTTATTGTCATGTTAATTGGGAAAAAAAAAAAACTTTGTTATGTTCATTGTGCCCCCCAAAAGGAAATTCCAGGTTCCGTCCCTGATAAGGCAGTGCTTTTATGAAGGGTATACACGGGGGATGAAATAAGAAGCAACTGCTAAAGAGAAATTGAAGTTTCTCACTGTGACTTGGGCAGCATGACAAAATTGAGAAGCAGAACTTTTGGAAAATGAGAGAGAGAGAGACAGAGAGAGAGAGAGAGAGCGATTCAACCCCCAACAAAAAACCAAAAATCTATACCTATAAAAATAAAGCTACAAACTCACCATTTTTCCAGAAGCAAATATTAATGCGGTCGTTTTCGGTTCTCTGATCCTCATGATCACAGCAGCAAAACGCTGCAAGAGGATTACAGAATAAAATATAAAAAAACAGATCCAGTGCAGGTTGCTATGAAAGAGGAAACAAGAAATACTATTTATTGCACAAACAAGGTTAGACTCCTCAAATTCAACTCTGATTCAAGCTTGCAACTATTATTATAGGTCTATAAGCAACTCCCAGAGATTAAACTTTCAAATACCTCAATAATTTTCCTTTTAACGAAAAATTACTCTTAAAAAACTGTCGAACAAACGAGTTTTCAAACGATTTGCTGCTTCTTTATTCTTCTTTTTAAGAAAGCCTAAGTCTTTTAAAAAAAAAAAGTAAAAATTTGCAGATAATTAAAATGTCATCACATTTCCATCAGATTGCAAACAGAAGGGGAACTTAAAGTCTATAATAATGTTACATACAAATAAAGACATATATGCTTAAAAGCATACCTTGGGATTGTATTCGGCGTTACGAGCTTGTAGTGCAATGGCCTTAAGATCCAACTTGCAATCCAAGTTGACAGTAGATACTATGTTTCTGGATGTACATCAATACCTTATTTAATAACATAATAATCAAGAAAAAGAGACATTTGCACACCATTTTTCTCAACATTAATATCATAATAAAGTATTTACTCAAGGAATGAAGTCATAATTGGCTTTAAAGGTTTCTTATTGTCCAAATTGATTTATTTAAGTGTTATACAGGCAAGACTAGCGGAGAAAAATCTCTATAGGTCAGCCCTTGTATGGACAAATGCATCATGAACATGCCCATCAATAGAATGATCGAACAGAAAACAATTAAGCACATGAAAGAGAGCACCAACATTATAAACATGAGAACTTAATGTGGTTTCACCTTTTCCCTAAGTGAGATGTATCCATTTTCTCTCCCATACCAAGTTCACTAGGTTCAAGAAAACTACTGATACAGAACTATTTAAATATAGTTGAAGGGGTAAGTTTACATTTAATTAGCTATTACACTAAATGCCCTTACAGATTTACTCAGATGTACTTAACCATTGATCATACTCCATCTCATATATTAGCCAAAAATACTACTCCCTCTATCCCAAAAAATTGTACACCTTTCCATTTTTGGCTATCCCAAAAAGAAGTTGATGTGTATTACACCTTTCATCCATATCTAAATTCTAAAACTAAAAACTAGGGGAAAAAAAAAAAAAAAAAAACCTAAAACTAAATGTCAAGGGGCTCGAACACCTAAACTTATATGACGTATGCAATACAAGTCTGTCTAAAGCGATTTTGAAACTTACTGTAACTAAATAATATATAGTTCATATGTACGTATAATGGAAGCCAGTCACTGAAGCCAGTCGCTAGTGACGCAAGTCAAGTTGTATCACTTTGAGACACCCTATATTGCTATAATTAGATGATACCCATCTAGAACCTACACCCAAATGCATTCAAAATAAAGTACCAATGTATGTTCTATTTGTGAGCTTAAAACTAGAGTTCCAACTCTTGCTAAATAGAATGGAGTAAACCCACAGTTGAGGTGAGAAATTCCTAAGTGCAATTGGACTCAAAAAATTTTAGCTCATTCCCACGTTTAAGCATACAATGCTGTATCGATTTTGTTCTATTCAAAATTTTCAATAAACAATTTCATCATTGACATGGCTTCAATTGTAAACAGAAGAGGATCTTACTGTAGTGTAGGGACGATTCCAGACGGATGCTTGGAGAGATCGACAGGTTGGCTCCCTTCCAAGACTTGATCTGCCATCGATTCCTTTTCTCTCACAATTCAGAATTGTTCCTTTCTATTCAACATAACAGCAAATTCAAAACACTTTTATCAATAATCTCTTGTTTTGTACCACCATCTAGGGTTTTCTTTAACTCAAAACCAATGATACCAACTAGGGTTTTTTTTTATAAGTATTCGCTTTCCAGAAAAAAAATTCAAAAGTCCCGTGAATTTAAATATATATGATCCAAGATCGAGTGATTTATAATATATACATACACACACAGAGACACATACATATATCAGTGGGTTTGAATAGTTGTAACTAAGAAAGAAGATTTGAGGTCGAGAATTTAAGAAAAGTTCAGTTTTAAAACTCATTGAGTGCAAAGTCCAGTTTCAAGTGCAAGAAAATCGAAAACTGTTCATGAAATAAAAGATTTGTAACAATCTGCGAGAGAGAACGGACCTTTTGAATGAAAATCTAGGGTTTTCTTTTACGCAAAACCGATTGAGAAGCAAAGATTTGGCGGTCGATATGAGAATTGAACGAGTAAAAACTGAAGTCGGAGCGTTAAGGATTTGAAAAGGGTTGTTTTTATATGGCAGAGAAGATTGATAGAGAGAGAGGGGAGAGAAATTGATAGAGAGAGAGATAGTTGTGATGGGTTTGTTAGGATCCGGAGGGAGAGCTTACGGATGAGCTGTGCTGCCCTAATTGTAATTTACCAAAATAACCTGTATTTTTTAACAAGTCGTTCTCGTTCAGGGGTATATTTGTCATGGAATAAGAGAAAGTTTGGGTGAGTCAATGTCAGAATATGTTTGTGAACGACAACTAGTTCTTTGCCAACTGTCAAGTTCTGTATAAAAATATCTATATTTGGATTGGCCCTCCCACACTTCATGACATCAGATTATTCAATTTAAGTTCGAAAATTTTTACATAATTACCCAGATTAAAATGATTAAGAAAATAAAAATAAATATTAAAAATAAAATCTTGATTAAGAAAAATAACATAAAGTTTGACTAAAGCATATAGTATAATATAAATGCATTCTGATATTAAATTTTGATTGTAAAATTTTGAATTTATTCTTTTTCAAACAATTATGTTCATTAATCAAAATTTGGAATAATTTTGATGGAAAAAGAACTCATGGGTGTTGTTGTAATGAGATGCACCTCAGAATAGTTTTTTTTTTTTTTTTTTTTGTAAATTCTATAAAATAAAAAAAAATAAAAAAGGGAAGGGAGGGGGGGTTATTTTATTTGAGAATACATTTCACATTAGGATCAGAAAAGGAAAAACATTCTTACTAAAAAGAAAAAGAACAAACAATTTTTATTTTATTTTAGAATACGTTTCACATTAGGATCATATGATCCTTTTAAATTCAAAGTTTAGTGTTGTAAAAAAAAAAAGAAAAAAAAATTTCAAAGTTTCGTTCCATTGCATTAAATTGATATTTTGTAATTGATACCGAATATGAATACACGATATACACACGTTAATTCGATCAATCTAAAAAAACAAAATATAGTAAAATATATATATATATATATATATATATATATATATATATATATATATATAATTTTTGATCATTTGTTAAAAATATTATGAATTTAAATGAAATCATTAATATAACAAGCATCTTTGGCCATCACTTAATAAAGTTTGAACTTTTCTCATCAATTATACTATCATTTTTTGTTAAAAAATTACACTTTAATATTTAAAACTTGTTAAAAATGTGCCATGAAGTATCTGAAGTATCGAATATTGGAGTTGTGCTTCCTAAAAGACATATATATTTTAATTCAAATCCACGTGTATACTATCAATGTTCTCATGTGTCACGCAACAACTTTACACGGACTTCGTATTCCCGTAGAAATATTTGTGCTCCATGTATGTTTTAAGTCAAATCCACATAAGTGTCATATCACGATTTCCTCATTTCTCCTAGAAGTATTTGCGCTTCTTAGAAGACATGTACTATGTTTTATGCTTCGTTTAGTTAGAGGGATGGAAAAATAGATGGAAGAGATAGGAGGAGTGATGGATGAGATATCCTAAGAGAAGGAGGGTGTCTTTCCCTTTTTATGTTTGGTTGAATGGAATGGATAATAGAAATAATGAATGGAGTGATACTTTTTTCTTATTTAGTTGGAATGAAGGAAAGAAGAGTTCTTATATTATTTTTACCAATATGCCCTTTTATATAAAATTATAAAAGATAGATATTTATTTCAAAATTTTTGAAAAAGTTAAAATTGTAAATTGCCAATTCATAGGTATTATGCCTTCTTTCTCTCCTCCCTTCCCTCCACAAGTGGAGGGATAGAAAAATATAAAGGAATGAGGGATGTTTCATCCCTCCTTGTTTCCTTCCTCTCTTTTATTCTCTCCAACAAAACATAAAAATATTTATCCATCTATCCTCCCATCCATCCCCATTCAATCCTTACCTCCAACTAAACATAGCATTAATTCAAATTCACATGTATTCTCCTAAAAATATTTGTGTTTCTTAAATGGCCGTGTATTTTAATTCAAATCCACATAGACTATGTATATTTTAATTCAAATCTATCAATGTTCTCATGTGTCATAATAACCATTTAGAAGAGTGTTGAGTTTAACTTATTCGAGTTAAAGTTGAGTATTTTAATAACTAAAATTTGATTCTTTTAATGAAAATACCTTAATAAAAGTACCTATTAATTAAGTTTTAAACAATGTTTTACATTATCAGGGAGTACTTGAACTGTTTGGCAAACTATTCATGATGGTACCACTGCCCCCTACCTTTTTTGTTCGAAAAATTAAAATTTTTAAATACACTTTTAATGTACTTGTTTAGTCAACAAAAAAAAATATATGTATATATATATAGTTTAGTAAAATTATAAAAAACAGATGAATTTTTCCAAATCTACCCTCTTAAGAGCAACTTTAATGCTCTCTCATTTGGGCCTCTCAAACTCAAAATATGAAAGTTGGGTAAAAAAAAGCTTCTTCAATGGGCTCTTATTTGAACTCTCAAAATTTGAGATTCTCAAATTTCTTCTCATATATAATAGCTGTCAAATTTTTTTTGGCAAGTCTCTCATTTTCCAAAATGGTGTCGTTTCTCACCGGTCATCACTCACTCTTCTTGGTTAGGAATGGATTCTTCTCTCTCTCTCCTTGTCTATTGCAATATGGGTTTTGAGCGTGAAGATTGATTTTGTAGTTTGCAGTTGCACAGATAGAGGGGGGAAATTTCAAAGTTGAGAACGAGAATAGAGATAGAGGTGATTGGGGAGGCTGAAATGATTTGCCCTAAAAATATTTACAATATGGGTTTTAAATTTCGGATTCTTGTTGATTTTGTAATTTGCAGTTGCAGAGAGAGCAGAAGGGGGGCAATTTTAGAGTTGAGAACGAGAATAGAAATGGAGGGAACTTCTGATTCCTGTTGATTTTGTAATTTGCAGTTGCAGAGAGAGAGAGGGGGGACAATTTCAAAGTTGAAAACGAGAATAAAGATGGAGGATTGGAAGGTTGAAATGATTTGCACTATAAATATATTTTTGTTCCGAGAAGAAAAGGATAAGAAGCACATATTATGTATAATATATATTATATATAAATTTCTAAAAAAAAATTATATAAAAAAATTAATTCACTAAAAAAATTATAAAAAATTTGTTTTTTAGGTTTTTTTTTACCTGATATTTTAAATTTATATAATTTTTTAATTAAATTTAATTTTAATTTTCTTCTAATGCCTACATTCTACAATTGAGTAGAATTAATGCCTACATTCTATTCCACAATTTTTTTTTTCCTAGTAATCAGTTGACTGTTATTGTAAGTTTTAAATTTTCAAACACGAAAACAATCGAAGTTTCTAATCAATCGTCAATTCTCTCATTCAATCCAATCGCCCACTTAGCCTTGTTGGTTCACAAAACAGTCTCCGTACTTTCATCCCACGTTTTTGCACAAAATCTATGTTTTTCTTTGTACCTTAAATCAAACTGTGTTGGATAATTAACATGAATTTTCTAAATAATTTTTAATATAAGAAATATAAGTATTATTTATTCCAATTATACTTGATAATTGCCAGAATCCAGATCTGTTGAATTGTTGTGTACACATTATTAAATGTATAAGATATATATATATATATATATTAAAAACCACAAAATAATATTTAAACAAAATTGATATAGGAAAACGAAGAAGAGGCCTCAGAGATCTTGGTGGATAAAAGATCATCAGATGGATTCAGGAGGAACCCAATCAAGAGTAGCAAATATCAATATCACATCACCGGCCACAAATATATGTATATATATATGTTCTTTTAATATTAAATCCATAACCAAATAGTTTATTTATTTAGATAAAAAATATAAAACTATATAATCTATATGTGTATATATATAGATATGTATATATATAAGAATGAGGAGATTGAAGATCCATGATGAGTCAGAAGTAGCTGGTTGTAAGATCATGGCAAATCATTGGGAATCCGAACGATTTTTTTCATCATCCATCATCATGACTCTAATAATCCCCTTTAAAACTAATAAAATAAAATAAAAATTCAAAATCAAAAACACAATTATATATATATATATACACACACACACACACACACACACAAATAGATGTATCTACCTTGTCACCGATAAATCCTATTTTCAGATGAAAGAATAGTCGGAGCTAAAGGGAGCCACATATACATATATACATGTATATATATATGTATATTTATTGTAGCCTAACGATAGATCCCTTGATCCACTCAGATTTTTGGCATTCAATCAAGGAATTGCAATATTAGGCATACGCTTATACATCTATACATCTATATATATATGTGTGTGTATAAATCACTGATCATACGAATTAAAACACAGATTCAGAAGAAGAAAGAAGACTGAAGACATCGAATTCAAACATGGAATAGAGAACGAAACCCTAGTGCCGCACCTTTATCAGGTGTGAACACTCCCTGCAACTCTCGAAGTCTCAATCAACTGGTTGCTAATTGATGCAGATATGTGTATTCTGCGGATACTTATAGAGAGAGAAAGAGAGGCGTCTCAGAAACCCTAGAGCGATAGTTATGCTTTAATGCGGCGGGGTCGATTAGGGTTAAATAAGCGTTGGCACAGTTTGGGTGGGCCACTTGTAATCCAAGCCCAGCTTCGAATTAAAGAAGTTTGGTGGAGTAAGGAAATTTTCTAAATTTCTGAATTTATATAATAACCCTTAATGCTTTCTTTTTTATGGTAAATTTGATGCAATTCAAATCATAAATTGGTAATTTTTCATAATTTCTTTTTAGAAAAATTTATACTAATCAAATAAATTATAAATAATTTAGTTTTCTTTCATACACTGTACTTTCCTTTTACTTTCACTTTTTAATTTTTCATTATTTATTTCTATTTAACCAAAGAAAACCTAATGCATTATATATGTGTATTTATTTTCCTTTTCTTAATTAGTTGGTGGTACACACTTAGTCACACAATTCGTTCAAAAAGGCCCGCTCTCAAGCTCCGTACACGAATTTGCGATTAGGGAGCATTTTTGCAATTCGCGAATTTATTTTCCTAATTCGCGATTTCCATAGGAATTTACTTTATATAGTTAAATTTGTTAGAGTCCCAGTGATATGGAACACCTATATTACCATATA